TGGCTAGCGGCCAGATTGTTGTTGTCTCTTGCAGCTTGAGGCGGCATCATCAGGTCTGGACTTCCCGAAAGGGGGCAGGGCCCTTCTCGGAGACAGTAGCTTTGAGTAGCACATTCGCCGTTCAGCAAGTGGCGACAGTGCAAGGAAACACTCTCACTGGCAAGAGGCAGTGTGTGTACATACATGGCCCCACAGTGTGTACTCGTGAAGCCCGATCAGCCCAAAGGGTTTGGGAGTTTGGGAGGGTTTGAGCTATTTTCGCTGACAGTAGGTTCAATCAAGTTTACGCAGAAGCAATTTTTGCGCATATATACATGAATTTGAGTTGTGCCAAGTTTGAGTGCAGTGCAAGGACAGTCGGATAGAGTACTCCCTACACGTGAGCAATGCAAAGGTGGAATTAGGATGCATCCTTTCGAACACCAAGAACTGAGGTGCAAGTTGGAAGGAAATCCCTCTCTACCTGAGTTGAAGGATCTTTGGAAATACCAGGAGGTTTGGACTGAAGTGCTGCTACTGTACATGCGAGTGACAAGCTGACGTCTCGGTATCAGAATTCAGGGTAGATTGGAGAGTCGCATCTCCAGGCAGTTTTGTTGTCACAGTGAAGATTTGCGAGCCTAAGCCTATTTGCAATCTCTTGACCAACGGTGATTGTTTTACCAAAACGCCAAACCTTAGCAATTTCTGGGTGTGAATTCAGTGTCTTTGACACAGCTGTATGTTCAACCCAGTCTTTTGTCTTGGCTATTCTGTCAAAGTGCATTGTGGCTAGCGGCCAGATTGTTGTTGTCTCTTGCAGCTTGAGGCGGCATCATCAGGTCTGGACTTCCCGAAAGGGGGCAGGGCCCTTCTCGGAGACAGTAGCTCTGAGTGGCACATTCGCCGTTCAGCAAGTGGCGACAGTGCAAGGAAACACTCTCACTGGCAAGAGGCAGTGTGTGTACATACATGGCCCCACAGTGTGTACTCGTGAAGCCCGATCAGCCCAAAGGGTTTGAGAGTTTGGGAGGGTTTGAGCCTAAGTTTGAGCTATATTCACTGACACCGTAGGAATCAAGTTTCTGGGGGCTCACTTATTAGGGCGCATTGCTGCTGGACTTTTGTCCCTCGTATCATGAGAGCAGCATCGTTTCTCTTGCACAGGACAAGCGCACAGAAGCAACTTTTGCGGATACAATCTGCGCAAGGGCGGGTGCAGGAGTGCAGCTGTAGTCACTACTGTGATATCTTTGGTGAGATGGCCCTAGTCACAGGGATCTTCCCATGTGACGATCTAGAATTGATTGAAGACAGGTTGACTGTACGCTTGCCAGACCAGATATTCGGATACACTACGCGCTACATGTGACCAGTGTCAGTGCTCTTGGTGTTTGCCAGTCCTTTCGAATTGTCGCACCGAGAGCCAAGAACTGATGTGCAAGTTGGAATGGAATCCCTCCTCTACCTGAGTTGAAGGATCTTTGGAAATACCAGGAGGTTTGGACTGAAGCCCTGCTACATGCTATAAATACTGAAGCTGAAGTCTTGGGATCAGAGGGCGTGCTGGACTGGGGAGCCGCATTTCCGAGCGGCTGTGCTGTGAATTTGTGAGCCCATCCTCTGTGTCTATGGCCGGCGTCCAGATTTGATTGGAGGCATTAGCATGACGCAATGTAATACTGTCTCATTGGCATGAGGTTTGTTGACATTTCTTTGGGGTCATGTTTTCTGGTCGCGTTTGACCAAGGCAACGCAAAGCGGACCATCTTGCCACATGCACAATGTTGTTTTGGAGTGTTTCCGCAACATTTACTGTAAGCATTGTTCTGTCAACCATCCAAAGCACGGAGTGCACTATTGTGTTGCTGGGACATTCAGTTTGTCGAAAGAATTCTTAAAACGATCTACAGTAATCTGAATAATATAAGAGAAAAGCTCCAGGATTGTATCTCCTCCAGGAAAAGGACACCATTTTATCCCAAGTCCTAAGCTAACTTTAACTGCTATCATGGAAGTGCGGCCGGTACACACCTGGAGAAGCTAACTCTGGAACTCAGCCATCTCCCTGCAGCTCTCTGCTGGGCAATAGTCCGTCCGAGAATGCTATCCAAAAATTGGTTGGCGCAGTATGGTTTCAAGAAGGTCTTCAGTTTCTTTGTAGATTCTCCTGAAGCGTATTCATTTGAAACAAATTGTAGCTTTAGAGACAATGCCATCTGATTGAATATCAGCCGCAGATGGGAAGACTTCCTTCCAGTATTTTGCTGCCTGAAGTTGGTTTGATAGGCAGGCAGTGCTACCGAGCACCGCATGTTCGCTGCTGCCAGACCTGCATTCCAGCGTTGCATTTGGAATCAAAGGATGTGAGGCCGTGTTGGCTTTGGGATTGGTGGTAATGACTGCTTCAAGCTATTGCGAAGGACAAAGAAGCAAGTTGCACAATCTGCAGGAGACGGATGGTATGTTGTTGCGCTGAGATTCCCACTGATTGATGCTTGCAATTTTCAGCAAGACAGACTGCATGTACTGGGTTCTAGCGCGACTAGTTCGAAAGCTTTCATTGGACTTTCTTGTTGTGGCACACATGGTCGTGCAAAGTCTGGATTGTCACCCGGTAAGAGATTGCCTGAAGCTAATGTTTGAATTCAACCCTACATTGATAAGGGACATGGAGCAAAGAATGTCAGACTGCTAAGAGTCAGGAACGCTCCGCATGTCACTCGTGTGTTTTCACCCTTGCTGTATGGTGAACAAAGGGCCAGTGGTATCGTCCTTTGCAAACAGCAAAACTGCACACACAGTGGCGCAAGTGTGCACTGGGCAAGAAGTTGCGCCCAATGAAATCCAGTAAAATCCATATTCCCATTGGTTGTAAGCTAAGAATGCCTCCCCATCTACGCCAAACCCTGCACTGTGCAAGTAGTACGACTAAAGTGACCAAAGTCTCTCAAGGCTTTCAGCGCATGGCGTTCGACGCCAGCTCGTGCCGGTGGTTTCTGGGTGCGTCACGGCTTTGGCGCCCTGCGAACCCAGGCGGGAGTGACCAGAAGTGAACCCGGAGGTTTCCCTTGGGCTTGTTGACAGCGACCTCCAACCGAATTGGATGTTCGCACGTAACAGGTGCATCGCTACTAGTAACAAGTGCCTTACTAGTAGTAACAAGAAGCTACTAGGAGCAAAGGGCATCGCTACTAGGAGCAAGTGCCTTACTAGTAGTAACAAGAAGCTATTAGTAACTAGCGACTTCGCACCGTTCCTTTTTTCCCATATTAGTTCTGGTATGTGCGACACCAGTCTCTACACTCTACGCTTAGGACATGCAAACAGGCCCTGTTGTGGTATCGACATGTTGCGGAGTGGTTTCTAAGAGATTCTAAGCTGATACTCCAATGCAGTCCAGCTTGCAGGCTGAAGAAAAAATATCCAGTTCCAAAGTTTGTCGAGCTACTGTAAGTGGAAATCTTGGTGATGTGAGTGCGGCCACGAGCAGCCATGTTTAATGAAAGAAAGAGTTCAAAGAATCAGTGACAGTTTCGGCTGCCGTAGGCTGTTTGGTAGGCATTCCCATGGACACTCCGAGGCATTCCGTAGGCTTGAGGTGGCATGGGCATGCGTAGGCACCAAATGTGCACACAAAAAGAATGCTGTACATTTGAGCCGCGTTCAAAAGTGGTCTTACATGAAGTGGAACCTTTTCTTCTAGGACAATGGCTCAGAACCACACACGCGCAAGCCTTTCCGGGCAAGAAGTTGCTTGGTGCAAGCGTCGCCATAACATCACCATGTCCGGACCATGTCTGCGCAAGCAAAATTAGACAACACCTCAAATTGTCAAACATTGTAATTACATTCTTTGCGCAAGCTCGCGCGGGCAATTATGTTGGACAGCGGCTGCGAGCACCTTCCCTTTCACGCCACCTAAGGGGTCTTGCACAAGCATGAATAAGGGTTATAATTTGATCTAAAACGAGATTTTGAAGGCTGCCAGGCAAGAGATTCCTTTGCTTGTCTACGGTTCATCCACCAGAGTGGTAAATGCACACCGTGCACAATGTTAAAGTGCGAGAATGGTGTCAGTTGCGCTGAAGAGGTTGTGGTTTTTGATCCTGAGTGGCGGTGTTTTTGAACGTTTCATTTGACACAGGAACCGCAACTGTTTTTGGCTGTTCAAAAGTGATCCTAGTCCTCTCGAAATTGCCGCTAAGCCGGACTGCAGATTGCCTGCCTGCAGGCTTTCCTTGCTTGAGCTAGTCTGTTTTGCATTTCAATGAGCTTTGAATGAGTTTGGACATCCTCGACGAGAGTTACCGTGGTACCAGGTGAGCCGTATGTGCCCTCAACGAGGTTTTTGAGCCGCCAGGAAAGGTGGTCAAATGGCCCATTCTTTGAGAGCTGCTTTCTTCGAAAGGAACCAACGGCCAAGGCAGGTGTATTTCATGCTGTTCCTGTATAAGACAGAAGGACGGCCAGGATTGCTGTTTACCTGGGTTGGAAATCATGGACGACCTGCCAGACACGGATTGTTGGGCTGTCCTGCCTGTCCTGAGATTGAATACTGAATGTGACGGTGTTTTGCGTTTGGGCTCTTGCGCTCTCTGAGTTTGGCGCACAGGTTGCCAAACTGTCAGCATCGAATGTGAAACAATCAGTCAGGGCCCAAACAGTCGGGTCAGAAGTGGTCGACCCACAAAAAGTTTTAGGTGGAAGATAAAATATATAAAATGGCTTTCAAGAACTTATATAAGGTAGCACAAGAGATTGGTCATTTGAGTTTCTACTATTCTAGTTGCCAGTAGCTTTACAACGTTCCTTGCTTAGGAAGACTTGGGAGTGACAAGTTTATGCATGTTTCTTGCTGAACATAATGTGAAATAGGTTCTTCAGCCTTGCATACCTACAACCTGGAACAACAAACTTCGAACAGTGCAGGTCCTGCTGCGTCAGCAGGACGGTTGACGGCTAATATTACAGGCTCTCGAAATTGTATGCTGCATCTTTCGATCTGCAAGGGAACCATCCTTCAAACCTTTTGCGACTTCTCAAAGTCTACTATTATACGTCGATCATAACCCATGAGCCTTTAGATTGTGCTTGGCTGTTGTTGCAGAGCCTAGAACCTGGAGCATCCAGAAACAAACCATCCGGGGCCATATTGTTTGTAGTTGTTCTCGAGCTTCACCAATTTCGGTTGGTATCGCAGGATCTTCACGCTGTGTGTTTCATGTTTCGAAGTGGTTACGTGAGCTTTTCCAACAGAGCCATCTTGGGAAACGGCCGGTTTCATTTGCGCAAAGTCAATTCTTGTATGCGCAACATCCATTCGTAAGCAACAATGCCTCCAATTTCTGGATTTTGCGCTGGCTTTGGAGCCCCTGGCCTCTCTTAATCCAAAGCTGGCTCAGAAAGGAGCAAGTTGCAAAGGCTGCTGTTTGTGAAAGGATCACTTTAATTTGGCGGTTAATGGCTGCAGGGGAAATATGGGGAAATTGTTTGTTCCTTTGTGGCAACACTGGCAGATTTTAGGTCGGGGGTGAACCGAAAACAGGGTGTGATTTTGCATTCTCGGAAGGTTCATTTGGCTGGTGTTTGTGTTTTTGGAAGCGGCTTCTGATCATTTCCGACCGTTTCAGTTTCCAAGACTCAAGGACTAAGTCTTGCTTGTGACAGGAAGCACATACTGATGACAGGATCGGCTTGGGCCCTGGATCGCAACGAGCATTGTCCTCGTTCCTTGTGTTAACACTGTGTCTTCAACCACCCCAAAAGTGGAGCCATACTACTTGCAATTCTAGTTCATACGAGGCGGCAGGGCATGCAAGAGAAACATGCACTGCAATGTGTGAAGGTGGTGCCCTTCAACATGTTCAACATCCTTTGCCTGCCTCTCATCATCATTCGATCTTTCTGCCACAGTCAGTTTCAAAACGACGAGTGTGCAAGAGACTGTGGATGTTCCTCTTTTCGAGGTGTGCAACGTTGGCAAGGCCCATCCTCATCCCTGCAGCGCTAACCGTTTGGACAGCTTTTGCTTGGCCGTTCAGGGTTGCTACCGAGTGCTGCAAACCGAGGATTAGCAACTGCGTTGGAAAAATGGTGTGTAAGGACCTTCAAGTAAGCTCGCAGACGAACACATGAAAGGCATCGCGTCTGAGACATTGAACTATGACAGGACTCGTCAAGAAGGGATTTGTCAAAAAAAAACAGACTCAATGAAGGCTCCTGCAATTACATAGACCGGCAAGTATTGGTGCCTTTGGTTCGCAAGCCTTTGTTCTAGTTGGTTATTGGTGCAGATGGGACATGAAAAGCACAAGTTGCAACTATGTTGAACATTGAAGTGAGTACATGATTATTTTGCAATGAAAAAGAACAGGCTGTATTCATGTCTGATAGCGAGATGGAACACTCAACATCAAGTGAGTTTGCTGAGATTCCACACAGACTCCTGCCGCAAGACTCGGCAAGTAGAGTATTGCCGTCCGCCAAAAGGGACAGTGAATCCGGCCAACAGGAAAACCCATATTTATTAAGCCAACCAGGTTCAGTGTTGAAGAGATGTCTTTTGGGGAGAGCCAGACAACAACCATCCCGCTGCAGGTCTCGTCCGCATTTTGGCCGGCTGACGGATGCCACACCAAGCATGTGAGCCAGCAATATCTTGCCCTCACGGCTGGAAGTCGGACGGGCAGGGCCCAGCATCTGCAGTGATGGACGGTTGGAATGGGACGGCGTTTTGATTTTCTTCAAATTCGGCCAGTATCATAGGATCTCGAAAGCTTATGCTTCATTTGTCGAACTGCAAGGGAGCCATCCTTCAAAACAGTATGTGGCTTCTCAAAGTCTTCCGTTATACGGTCGCCGTCATCCTCCATGTGTAAGAAAACCCTCTGCCAGTTTCCAACACTTGTGTTGGCTTTCAAGCTCTTTGAGTGTGCTTGGCTGTTTCTGCCGACCCATAGAACCCGGAACATCACCAGGACCATTTGTTAAACCTATGAACAGTATCCCAGAGACTCAAAATTTAATCTTGCGCCACTGAAGATTAGGCTTTTGGCACTGGCCGAGTATTGTTTGTGTAATCAAAGCCTTTGCTGAAGAATTCGATCAAGTTTGAAACAATGCATCGCTCAGCATTCTACAAGATTCGACATGTTGCCAGTGGAGAAGCGGACCCGGAGCACAAGTCGAAGCACGTGAAAGCAATCTTTGACAAACAAGCACGACACCGATGATTTGGGCAAAGGCGAAACCATCACCACATAACAAGGAATGCTCAAGGTAAGCCATGCCGTCTCAAAACACTGATGGCTGAACATCTCCTGGAACCCAAAAACTCCAGAAGCAAACAGTTGAGGGCCAGATTAGGGTCAGAAGTGGACATTTGGAATTTGACCGTTTTCTATGTTTATCAATGTCGGTCAGTATCGTTCAGTCCCAAGAGCGTACGGTGCATGGTTAAGGACCAGTGGGTTTGTGCCTTTTCGCAAGGGTGTGATGACTGAAACTGCAGCGTTCACCTGCTCAAGGCTCACTTTTGTATGCACAACATCCTTGTGGAAACAACCTCCTGGTCCGTTCCTGCAGTTGGTCATCGATTTTCAGCCATTTGCCTCTGTTGCTTCATCGATTTTCCGAGATGGCCGACTTACAAAAGTGGCTGCTTGTGAAACGAACATTTCAAGCCGGCCGTTCTTTTTGATAGATTGATTGACGGTGTGAACATGGCCAAGAGCTGCCTATTTCTGTCCGCGTTCTAGGTGTGCGATTGCTGCAGGGCTTAGAGTCTTCGCTCCAAAGGTGAAGCAACTTGACTTACCTTTGTTGACAAAAGCCTAAAAGGACGTGCTAGTTGCTCATAGTTTCCGAGATATAGGTTCTGGTATTTGCGACACCAATCTTTTTGGCTGAGCCCTGGCATGATTGAAAGTGTAAGCAGATGTTGTCGTTGCAACGGAATCCTGCAGAGCCATGTCCGCTTTTCCTGCTGCAGTGTTTGTTTTTTCGCCGACTCCGTTTGCATTGCCAGTTTCTTGCAGTTGCCACCTGATGACGAGCTTCACGTGCGGCCTCTGTTCACGGTTGACCGTGGACACTAAGCTGATATTCCAGTTTTCGCCAGCTTGGATGAGGATGTGCCCCCTGCCAGCTGGTACGGCTGAGTGGAAATCCTGCTTGCTGCAGAGCGCTTACGGTGGCAGCGGGGAGGAGATTCCTTTGCTTGTCTAAGGAATGACTCCACTATCAAAATACTCATCGAAGATCATGGAAGCATCATTCTGATAGGTCAGAAGCAGTGATCACTTGCTTCCGAAGCAGAAGTGCAAATTGGAGTTGTCAGCCTGATCCTATGTCGCTCATTGCATCACCCAGATTGGCTTGGAAGTTCTACTCATGGTGGGGCTGTTCGCAGACGCCAAAAACCTTTGGGTGACTTGGCCAATAGGGTGTTTTTCAGCGTTTTGCACCGAACAACCACACCCTTCGGTTGGCCGGCTGAACGGTGACATGGGGGCGAGGGCGACGTCATCGCTGCACGAGTTCGATCGAGAGGTCAACACGTTGGCACGACGCGTGAGGCACGACACACCTCTCATCACGGGCGCCGGTCACCGGTGATCGCCGGACTGGTCGCCGACATCGCTGAGCTGAAAGGGTCGGCCTGGTGGCAAGGTGTGGTTGCAAATGGGACATAATGTGACCAAGAGCAGCTGCTCAGAGGTTTCGTTTGAGTTCTCCACAAAGCAATCAACAGAGAAAACCCCAGAGTTGCGCAAGAACCAGCAATACCATGCAGAGAACAGCTTTTCAGATCTTTTCAGTTCTTTGCAACAAAGAAAGCAACAGAGATGCAGCCATTATGGATTGCTTGACCTGGTCATGAGGAAGGAAAAAGTGCCTCCGCGTTGTTGCACTTGATTACACAACCAGCTTGATCTCGTGGCATCAGGTCACAACAGATGGCCTCGAGGTGTTTTAGCTTCCTGCGTGGCTGTGGGGTGTGATACTGTGGGTTGTGTGTGTGTGATTTGCATGCTTCCTTTAAGCCCTCGTGCCAACTAACAGCGTGCGGCTTCACGCCATGTCAAAGGAAGCCGATATGGGTTTTCCTCATGAAAGGTTTAGTTCATACGGAAGTGGCTGTTTCAGATCAAACACCGTTCTTTTCAATCAGTTTGGGCAGTCAATGTCTTGAGTCGTGAAACACCAAAACAGCGTCGAAGGGAGGTCCAGGAGCAACGAGCATGAGGCCCTTGTGAAACGCAAGCAGGGATATATAAATATATATAGTCAACACCGGCTTCATCCTTTACAATGTAGCACTGAATCTACTTGCGCAGTGGTGTGAGAAGCCGAAAGCTTTTTGTTCAGACCCCAACTCACCGGACCTCACGACAGCCCATAGCACAGGGTTGTTGCAATATGTTGCAATAGCAGGCAATAGCTATGCAGACTACCCCACCCTGAAAAAAAACATAAATGATGTGTCAAAACCCTACAGGATGCAAACCCATTATAGTTCTGGGCAGAAACAGACCTGACATGACCTGACTGTTAGCATGGCTCTTGAACGCCCAGCAGAACCTCCCAAAACGACCAGCTCCATCAACCGACTCCAGCTTCTTGGGGCACTGCTCGCGGCGCCCTGCATCGAGAGGATTTTTGAGAAAACCAAGGATCAAACTTCAAACATCGTATGATCACAAAGAAACTTTTGGCAGTCTAGGAGCCCCAGGTACAACATCTTTGCGATAGGTTTTTGGTTGAGAAGAACAGTCACATACTGGTCCAACCAACCACAACAAACCATATTTTTATCCCAGACAGTTCTAAAGCGCTGAACTCACCCGCCGCGGCCGCTCCATTCTTGCATGTTGCAGCAAGATGCCTACGTGTCTTGCCGAAACACCTGAGCGTTCCATTCCATGTGCAACACGGATATGATTTGCAGTCCAGGAGGTGTCCTGCAGCAGACACGAGTGCACATGCGCTGAGGCAGTTCTCGGTATTCATCGAAATTCCAGCGAGGAGGAGATTAAGCAAGCATACAGAGCAAAAGCCCTCAAGCAGCTCGGCACGCCAAGCAGGTGATTGAACATATCGGAGACTCTCAACAAACAAACTTGGCAGCTTGGCAGTGCCACGCAAACAAGGGCCGCAGGAAAGAACAATTGAACAGGTTTTGCTATGTGTCCGCTGTTGGCTGGGTTGCTGAAGTTCTTTCGGGATAACTATGCCACCTGAGGCACCATCCAGACAAGGCGGGCAAAGCACTACTACACAGTAATTGAAGACCTGTGTCACTGTGTCCTTCAAGAAGAGGTGCTGGATGAAGAGGAGCGGCGTGAAGCCACAGCGCAGTTCCAGGCGGGTGCTGCATGGGGGAAGATGGTAGAGATGGTAGAGTCATAGAGACTGCTTGCGGCAACAACGGCTTGGGCGTGGATGTTCCGATCCACACGAGCTGGTCGCACATCAAGATGATGCATGTGGGAATAGTCAGAGGCCCCCCCCATGTCTTCCATGTTCAACTGTGTTCAATCCGCTGCCCAACGGCATGATGTGGATATGGCGGCACGTGAACGGAGGAGATCCAAGCAGCCTTTGAACAGCTCTCCAAAGGCCGCAGGTGAGATCTCGGGAAATCAGACTTTTGCGGAAGCCGATCAAGAGAACTGCTGGGCGATGAGTATCTTTGGGTCTGTGGCCCTGATCATGCAAGAACTCTGTTCAGACAAGGGCCAGTCTTTTCTGATGCTTTTCGACCCACCAATGCTGCACAGTGAATTTGGAAAATCGGTCAGGTTGGATTTGGCCACGACCTCAGCTGCTTCACCAGCGACCGACGTCGGTTTGGCTCAGCCGTCCTGGCTCAGGTGATTGGGCCCATGACTCGCACTGAGCTCATCAGCGCCTGTGAAGGCCACAACTTGAAGTTCGGGGACATATATGTATGATGGATGTGGCTAGGTGGTGGTACCGTTCTCAGGAAGCGAGAGTGCATTGAGAATGTGTTGAATCTGGCCGTCATCCACCACCTCCACCATGCCCACCGTCCAGCTGCCCTGCCCTCCACGCCCTGCCCTCCACGGGCAGGTGGCGACCTCAGCACCGTGCAGCAGCTCTTGCGGGAGTCGGCGGAGATCAACGCCACGGACAGCACCGGTCGCAGCCCACTCATGTTCGCAGCTCAAGCGGGTCACGTTGAGGCGCCCCCGGACAGACCGGAGGAGCGTTTTGCTTCGAGACGAAGTCGTGGAGATCGGCCAACGGAGTCATGACTGGTCCGGGACTGGTGCCTAAGCTGTTTGACGCCTTTGAGTCCATGTTGCCGCAATCCATGTTGGTTCTTCAGAGTCCGAAAACACATTCGCCCTAAGGGTCGGACAGTCGCAACTTGCCATAATCCAACATCAAAGTGGATCAGCCACATCCAACGGAGAGGGCCACACACACACACGTCCATCCTTTGCCACTGAAGTGGGAATGTCTCCGAAGAGTCACACGCAGCTTTTTACGCAGGCGATCCACCTGTTTGACGTGTCCATGAAGTCCACTAAGCTTTAAGCCTTGCAATCAATTTGTTCAAGAAGACTCTGAATGGTGACAGAGTTGAATCAGGGAAGAGATTCCGACAAACCGACAGAGACCATCCCTGAAGATCAAGATGGTCAACATCCATTAGAGTTCCACTCCTGCACCTGAGAGGTGATGGAACTCTTGCTGCAGCGCCAAGCTGACCTGAACCTGCGGAACTGCGCAGGCCACACCTGCGCGCCTTGGCTTCGCGCGAGTCCTGGACCAATCTTGGACCGTCCTCCACGAAAGGAATCTTCGAAATCTGCGGACTGAAACTGTGGTGGAAAGGGACAATAGTACTTGTGGGCATGGAAACGTTTGCGTTGGTAATAGACAGACTCTGGCTGAGCTACATGGTTCTGGGTTGAACCTGTGGCTTTCTTTCTGAGGTGATGTTTGCCGTTGGTGGTGGCATCAAGGTCCGGGAATGTCTGAGACTTTGAACATCTTTGAATAATACGACATACGGATACGTATATAACTGAAGTTGTTTCGCAGTTTCGCAAGGATGTGAACGCTTTAAAACGGGCCAACATTTCTTGGCTACAGCCACCCTCTTGCAGGTCAATAATCAGCATGAGCGTGCCCAACAGTATCTCCGAGCAGTGCAGCTTCTCCTGGATGAAGGCAGCGACGGGCTTGTGGAGGATGTTTTGAGGCCAGGTACCTGGCGCACTCGGTAGCAACAAGAGCCTTCAAACGAGAGCCAACTGCGCTCCACGAGCTCCAGCAGTCCTTGAAACGAGACCCGAATTGCCACTGTGGTGCCGCACCCGTTGAAACGCGGGTGCCGCATGGTGTCGCACGTGTCCAGTCTTGCAAGGTGCGCCGGTGAATGGGGTCACCTCCTACGGCCTTTCTGCCTTGATGCTGGCAAGTACCTCAGGTGCGGACAGAGATCCTCGAACCGAGGTCACAGTCTTGCTTTGATGAGTGCCAAGATGTGCCAAGCATATAGTCCCATGGACCACGGCAATTTTGCTATAATTAGGACATATTGGGTTTGTCCTATTGCCTGTAACAATCGGTAGACAATTTCATTATCACTATTTTAGAGAAAGGCCTTTACTAATCATTTGGTAATGGGATATAAGATATACTATACAATGATATACCCAAAGAAATAAGTAAAACATCAATATACACAAATATATATATATATATCAGTATTATTACATCATGTTGATAATGTGTATGTATGTATGTATGTATGTATGTATGTATGTATGTATGTATGTATGTATGTTTGTATGTATGTATGTATGTATGTATGTATGTATGTATGTATGTATGTATGTATGTATGTATGTATGTATGTATGTATGTATGTATGTATGTATGTATGTATGTATGTATGTATGTATGTATGTATGTATGTATGTATGTATGTATGTATTTTTTTTTCCTAGAGGTGCTGCTCTGGCCGTTTGGCCGGTGCGTGGCTGGCATGTTGCCTCACTGGCTGCCGCGGTCGCTTCTCAGTGGAGGTCGGTTCTCAAAAAGTGCCACAGGTACTTCTAAAAGAAGTCGACATGCATTTCCGCAGCTTCGTCTAGGCTCTCTTCTTCGGCTGTTTCTGGGCTTGTTGGTGCCTCTGCCGTGGCCGAAGGTTGTGCTGCCGTTGCCGATGGCGGAGCTTTAGCATGCTGGCCACTGGCTGCATTGTGTGAGGTGTTGGGGCTTGCCTGGCGATGTGCCTGGCTCTGTGCCGGTTCTGACCCATCTTCCCTCTGCGTAAGAGGTGTATGGAAATGCAGCCGTTTTGGTCTGGGGCCACTGGCGGGTTGTGGCGTGTCCGGAGGGTGGTGGAGGTTCGTGTGTCCTGCCTCTGTCTGCGTGGCCGGCGTGGCCTTGAAGAAGGTATGGATCGGTGGTGATCCCTGTGTTCCTGCTCCTCGACATTCCCTGAGGAAGTTTGTCGAGTTGATGATGCGGCGATTGCTGTCAAGGTGGAGCTGCAAACCACAGCTGGTGCAGCTGATCTTTTGCCCTTTTTGCCACAGTTTGTGGCTTGGGTGTCCTGTGTGGTCTCCCTCAAAGGGGCAATCCAGGCATGGCCCTTGGATGTAGTCCTTGAAGGCCTGTTCATTGACCCGTTTGTGGACATTGGTGCCACACTTGGTACACTTGAGGTAGCCCGTGGTTTCTTCAAAGTGGTGCTGTTCTGGTGCCGGTGGTCTGGTGAGTTGCTCTTGGATGAGGTTCCTGATGACCTGCGCTCGTGTGAGCTTTTTAGCGGGCTTGGTGGCATCTTGTCCTGGCGCTGGGCATGCCTGCTCGGCAAGCTGCTGGGTGCATGCTTCTCCCAGTCGATCTTCAAGCTGCTGTGCTGTGAGCCCTTGGTGCATGCTTGTTCCGCAGGTGGTGCAGGCGAAACCGCTCCTCTGTGGGGCCCACCTGTGGTGATTGTCCTGCCAGGGCTTCGTGCACTGCTGGATGAGGTCTTTCTTCCTCTGTTTTGTTTGCTTGCCTGGTTGCCGATCAGCTTTGGTGTGCAGGTAGTGTTGTTTATCCTGGAAGATCTTTTCAAGCCGTTGTGCAGCCTGGAGGTAGATGGCTTTATGGTCTTGGTCCAGGGTTTGTTGCCATCTGGTTTGTCGCCGGTCATGGAGCGCATCTGCCCTCTCCCAGGCAGCTAATGCAGCATCTCGTTGCCTTCGGCGGAGCTGAGGTTCATTTCCGGGAGCGTCTGGTGTTCTGGTGTTTTTGTGGATGTACAGGACGGTGATGCGCTTTCTGTCCTGTTCTGTGACCTCAGCCAGGAGGTCTGGGTAGGGATGCTTGTGTGGTGGCTTTTGCCAAGCTTCCCAGACGGTGCTCAGTTGCACGATCACCTTTGCTGGGGTTGTGGTGTGTTTTGCAAGGGCCACCAGCCCAGCGAAAAGTGCGCGGCCCTTACTTTGGTGGCCACTGGCAGCTCCTGTGATGGCCCCAAGGCGTTTCAATTGGCCCATCGTTTGCGTGTGGAGGCACAGGCCGAAGACCCAGAGCTGGCTTCTGGTGTCGTAGTTGCTTGGTGTTGCATCCAGGGTGAATGCAAAGCCTGCATATGGGTCCGGGCTAATGGGTAGCAACTCCTTCCACACTCCGTGGCCATGGTACGGGTGTTGTTGATGTAGATGCTCTTGTGGTTCGAGTGGTATCCAGCCTTTTGACCACAGGGCTTCTTCTTCAGGATTTGTGATGCGGTCGAGCCATTCTGCTGGTAGCGGCTGGTGTGACTGAGTTCTGTGCCACTTGCACAACCAGAGCATATGCTTCGCTGTGGCCGGGACGTGGCAGATGGGACAGGGTTTTGGTCCCTGTGCATCGCGGTAGTGGAGAGCTCCTTGCACCCAGGTTTGCAGGTGTCTAGACTGCTGTTCTGGCAGCTTGGGCTTGAGGGTGCGGTACGTGTGCCAGTCCAAACCTGTGAGCAGGTGTTGGTGATGCGGCCTGCTGGCAAATCTGTGGGTGCGCTGCTGGTGGGCCTCAGTGGTCAGGCGATGTTCAATCTGCCACCATTGGTCTGTGATGTTCACTTCAGCTGCAAGCATGAGGTCGTTTGCAGGCCTGGACCAGTGAAACAGGTCCTGAACATTCCATCCCCACTCAAGGAGGTAAGCGATCGTGGCGGCCATTGGACCTTTGACCGTGTACCACGGATGCTGTTTGGCCTGGAGGTTGTCGAGCGTAGTTGTCCATGCTTGCTGCAGTTGGGTTAGCTGCTCTGCCGGCCAAGCTTGGATGAGCTGGTGCATTGCTCGGATGTGGTGGATGATGATCTGGTCTGCTGGGTCCATGTATCTGGTCTTGTGGATGTCATATGTGACGTCGAGGATGCCGCCAGTGTGGTGGCCCAGCTGTTTGGCTAGTGCATGCCTGAGCGCTTGTCTGTACCGGGGTGCTAGACCTTGGCTTTCGACTCCCCAGACTGCGACGGGTTGGATGCCTCCCCGGTGTAGCCTGAGTCTCACCCGAAGTGCTGGTATTTTCAAGTTCCTCAGCTTGAGCTTGCGCTGGTGGGCTTTTTGCAGCCTTTGTTTCATGACGGGGATGCGTCTGGCGCGTCCGGCCTGATGGTCGATGCCCAAGTCTCTCATCACTGGTACCACGGGTGGCTCTTCTTCTGTGAGGAGATCCTTGAGGGCCTTGTTGACCTGCTTGTCAGTGCCTATGAAGGCCGTCTTTTTTGCATTCACTTTCATGCCAAGTTGGGTGAGGCGGTTGTGGAGGTCCCTGTAGGCTTCTACGGCCTGCTTGGCCACAGTGTGTGGTGTTGTGCCTGCGGTGTCATAGCCGATATCATCCACCCAGCTGGATAGGTGGATGTGGGGATGCTGTTCATGCCAAGGTTGAAGGGCTGGTGTGAGAACAGCTTTGGCCAGGAGTGGCGCTTGTGGGCATCCTGCTGGAACTCCTTGATCCACGTGGAAGAAAGGTGTCATTTCTTGCTCTGCCACTATGGCTTTCGGGCCAGTGTACAGCTGCATAGCCATCTCGAGCATGAGGGGCGGGTAGTTGATGGCAGTGGCCTGGTCTTGCAGTTGTTGTAGCCGGATGGTGTCGTAGAAGGTTGACAAGTCCATGAGGACTGTCACCCCGTGGCGCTTGTTTGTTCTGTGAACCTCTTGTCTCAGGAGTCGCTCCAGAGCGACCTGCAGCACCTGAGCGCCAGGTCTGGCTCGGTCGTGGTTCATGAAGTCAGGGAGGGCAGCTTGCCAGGCATCCAGGATGGGCTTGCGGAGACGGCACCATAAACGGTACAAGGTGGATGTCAATGTGATTGGGCGTTCGATGGTCTGGTTCTTGGCCAGCATGACGACCATGTGCATCTGCATTTGGGTGGGCATCTGTGCACTCCGCTCCACGTCCTGGATGAGCTTGAGCAAGGGATGCAATGCTAGTGGCGGTGCTGATCGTAGGAGTTGGGCGGAAACCGCATCTGGTCCACTAGCTTTGTGAGGAAGGGCCTGGATAGTTCTGCTGAAGTACCCCATGGTAATGGGTGGAAGTGCCAATGCCTGACGCTGTGCCTGTTCTCGTAAGCTGGTCCTGGGTGCTGGGTTGTTGTCATCTCGGATGTGCCAAAGTGCTCCCCAGTCTGCAAGGCGTTGGTTCATGCGCTTGTCTGGTTCGATATTTCTGTACGGCCTTTTCCAGGGCACTTCACTACTTTTTAGGCTGCGGAAGAGCCCCTTGAGGCCCTTGGCATGCCCTTGGGTGAGCCAGGTCTTGTACTGGAGATGCAACTCATCATTGGCTGCCTGTTGTGCTTCGTGTTGCTGATGCTTCATGGTATGCTGAATTAATTCAGCTGCATGTGGGTCTTTGTAGGTGTGCCAATGGTGGCAAGTGTCGAGGAATTGGCTCCACGTGGGCGGTCCCAACCATTTGGTCTGGATGTCTTGGATGGCTTTCATGAAGCCTTTGGTGGGCCCGCCAGCCTGTGTGGGTGGCTGCTGTTGAGCGAGACGGAATCTGGCCTGCAATTGCTCCCAGAAGGCGGTCTTGCCTTTTTTCCAGGTGCCTCCGGACTTGGGCGTGGCTAAGGGCTTGATGCTCACATGAAGGTTGGCCCCCCTGCCTCTGGCTGCCCATGGGTGCTCTTGTAGGAGATATTGTTCCGTGGCTGAGATCCAGTCTGCCCAGGCTTGCGCTTTGTCGTTGACAGGGATGTCATAGAGGCAGATTTCAAAGGCCTCCGATTGGAAGGTGGTCCATGGTCTGAAGTCGATGTCAGGCACTGGTGGCAAAGGTGGGTAGTACTGGATCTGTCGGAATTCTTTTGTGGCCGCATCAATGTCCAGGTGCAACGTTAGTAGTGCATGTGGACGCCACGGCACCGCCCATTCTGTGGTGAGGGCAGTGGTGCTGGAGAGGGATGTGTGGACCAGGCTGTAATCA